TTTAGGTGGACCCAATATCTTTATTTTTATCTCTATGTGGTGCTGAGAGTCGAACTTGGAGAGTGCTCCATCACTTGAGCCACATGAGGGCACGCCCCCAGTGATCTCCCATTCTTAAAAGGTTCCACTGCCTCCCGTACTCTGCACTAGGGATGCAGCCTCCCACACATGCATCTCTGGGGACAGACCACAACTAAACCATAGCAAGGCTTAAGCAGGTTGAGATTCAGAAGCCACCCTGTATTAGGGCCAAGTGGTTTTACAATGAACTTTTTTGCCTTAAGAGGGTTTGAAGAAGCTCCCATCGGTTCCCAGAGCCAGTGAGGACTGCTCTGCAGGGCCTGCTAAGGCTGCAGGTGGTCGCTGCTGTCCTTATCTTAAGCCCCCACTTAACAGTGCTGCTGCTGATTGTTCTAGAGAGCAGACCACATTTTCCTCTGCTCTGGATTCACTTAAGAGTGACACTCTTGTTTCCTCGTTGTTCAGAATGTTTGACTTTAGAGTAAGGGCTCAGTCTTCCTAGTTGAGAGAAGCTCTTGCTGGGCATATGGTAGTTATTTTTCTAAGAATCATTTATTTTCCTAGTCCAAATATTGCTTACTTTTAAAGATGTTATGAACAATGTTCACATCAGTAAGTGCCAAATGGAATAAGTACTAATGTCTCCACCCTGTGTATTGTATTGTATTGGATTCACACTGTGTCTGATTGAATAAGTATATTTAAAAATCTTAAACGTTAACTGGCTTAGAAAAGTACTTTCTAAATCATAAAGAGACCCTACTTTTCACACCTGACAGACTGGCAAAAACTGAGATGCATCTACATATCGGTGCAGATTCGTGCTCTGGTGCTGGTATTAAGTTCATAAATTGACACCACCACTTTGGAAAACAGATCAGCATGACCTGGTGATGCTGAGTGTGAACATGCTTAGCAATGCACCTCCATGCTGCTCTCCAGGCATAAGAACTAGGAAACACAGATGACACCACTTGTAGTAGTGTTCTTCCTTGCAGCAATGAAGCTCGAATTAAATGCATGTCTTTCAGCCGGGTGCCATGGCACATGCTGGTAATCCCATGGCTCAGGATGCTGAGGCAGGAGGATTGCAAGTTCAAAGCCAGCTTCAACAACTTAGTGAGGTGCTAAGCAACTCTGTGAGACTCTGTCTCTAAATAAAACAAAATGGGGCTGGGGATGTGGCTCAGTGGTTGAGTGCCCCTGAGTTCGATCCCCAGTACAAAAAAACAGAAACTTTCAGAAACAGAATGAATAAATGAGTTGTACATTCATTAGTGGCTTACCATTAAGGGGTGAAAACAAATGTACCCGGTGACCCTTGTCCATCTTGTGTAATAAAATGCCCAAAGACATGTTGTTGAGCAAAAGGAGAAACTTGAAAGAGACTGGGTTCCAGTCCCAGGAAGCTGTATACAGGAAGACTGATTAGTGTGATCTTGAGGAATGCATACATGTGTGGTGAAATTATAAAGAAGAGCAAGGAAATGATCAAAAGCTCCTGCAAATCATTGCCTGGAGTTGGGTGGGAGTGGCTGCTGGGAAGGAGATGGTGGGCATGGCACTTGGTACTTCAAAGGAACTTGTGATTTTCTGTTTCTGGAATGGTGGGTATATGGGTGTGATAGTATTTTCTTTAAGCTGTCCGTGTACATTGTTTAAATTCTTTTTGTATGATGACAAAAAATGAGAAAATTTTTGAGCAAGTTAAGTTAATGAGCCTCTAAGTGTATCTGTTTGTCTAGCTAGTGGCTTGTTCACGTAACCAGGAGCATGAAAGGTAATGGTCATGGAAGCTACTGTATTTCTTTTTTGACCAGACACTCCTTGAACGGCTCCAGAACAGGTCCTGACTGCTCTGTTGTGGAACAGGGCACGTGTACTCCTGCCCTGCTTCCTGCCACCTCTGGAAGACCATGGTGTGGGTGTCTGCTCTTCCACAGGATCCTCTATGCTGCACACACAGCTGCGGGTGACCCGTAGCCAGAGCTGGTGCTTTCACTGTGAAACTGAACTGAGCTCTTAGGCTCTTGTCTGTCCTTGCTAAGCATTTGTGAACGGTGTTCCCCTGTAAACTGTTGGTGTCTGCTGAGCAGATGTCTCACTTCCTGTGTTCTCTTAGGCTGGGAGCCATTCATTGAGCCATGGCCATGCTCTGTATCCTGGCAACAGCAGGCAGCTAGTCGTCTGCATCCTCCTCGACTAAAGCTGGAGGCCAAGGCCAAACCCCGTCTGGATATCAACATCACTTCTGTACTAATTGGTGAGTGGGCAGTTGCCTGTTGCAGGTTGGTACCTTGCTCTATGCTAGTCCCTGGAAGATTGTTCACCCCCCGTTGTACATTCCTTAGTGGCTTACCGTTAAGGGATGATGCTGGCCATGTCTGATGTCACTTACTTACCAGGATGCTTTTCTGGCAGACCTAACACGGCCTCAGGAGTCTTCTCAACCCACTTCTCTGTTGATGCTTACAGTTTAATTTTCTTTGTTTTGTTTTGAGATGGGGGTCTCACTATGTTGCCCAAATTGTCTAGAACTCATGGGCTCAAGTGATCCTCCCAAGTCTCCCAAGTAACTGGGGCTGTAGGTGGGTGCCACCTCACTGGACTTTGCCAGAAAAGTGATCGCAAGAGTTTTAGACTTCTTGGGATATGTAGAGACCCTGCTGAACTTTCTCCTCATAATGCTTGGCCACCGGGGTTTATTAAATGTCCTAGAAATAATATAAATACATTTTTTCAGGTTATTAAAAAAATAATTTTACTTGAAGGTGTGGTTGGACCTGGTCCTCATAGCAGAGGCAGTTGCCCTTGTTGTTTCCGGATCAGGTTCTGTGCTGACCCAACTTGCTCACAGGGTTCCACGCTGGTGGTGTGTGCTCTGAAAGATCTTTGGTAACCCTGAAATGTACACTTATAGATTTGACGTGGTGAAGGAGAACCACTCTATCATTTCTATTTCTGTCATCTAAAATTAGAGTAGCATCTTCATATCATCAGGCATTTTTTTACATTTGCTATGAGGATTCACGTTCACTGCTTGATTTCTTAGTCTGTGTGATCAGATTTTGATAATTCTGCAGTTCTCTCTGAGTGATGTCATGTAAGTATGCAAATGGTGACTTTCTGCAGTGTGTCTGTCTGGTGAGGCTGTTAGAGTAGACATCACCTTGCCCTGTCAGGCGCAGTGGAGAGTGTGTGTTGAAATGAGACCATGTTTTTGACCTCCCCCAACTTAATCCCTATCCCTTTTTTTTGGTACCATCGATTGAACTTAGGAATGCTTAACCTCTGAGCCATATCCCCAGCCCCTTTTTATATTTTATTTAGAGACAGGGTCTCTCTGAGTTGTTTAGGGCCTCGCTAAATTGCTGAGGCTAGCCTTGAACTCTCAATCCTCCTGAGCCACTGTGATTACAGGTGTCTGCCACCATGTCTGGCAAAATCCCCATTTTAAATAATCAAATTCCCTTCATCAATTTTCTTGGATATTCAGTATACCAATGTAGTAGTAAGTTAACTTGTAATCCTCCTAAACTATATTATTTCACCTTTGTGTTTTTCACATTATGTGCTAAACTAGGTTAGACAATACTTCTTTGAAAAGCTCCAGTAAACACGAATTTGCCTCAAAAGGTCCTTTGTTATATTTATGATGAGCTTCTATGTATTTAAAAATATCTTCTAAAACATTTCCTTATTAGTGGTGAATTTTTTTTTTTCACTTCCAATTCCTTATTTCAATAGTGTTATGAAACCCAGAAACATTGTTAGGACCTCTCAGATTTTAAATAGCCAAGAGTTGGAATTGAAAACCAGAAACCAGTAACCCTTGTTCCAGAAAGTGTAATCTCTTAGTGTAAAAGATCTTCACTTTGGTGTAGCATGTGGTAGTTATTTTGTTACCTGCTATTCCCACTATAGTTCTTATCTCCAAAAAAGGAAGCTACTCCAGGAAGATTCTTGCTGGATTTCAGCCTCCTGAGCCGGTCTCTCCCTGACCATGTTCTTCACCAACTAGGTCCTTCTCGAGACTGCTTGGCTATGTTCCTAGTGTGCTGTGCTGTTCTGACAGAGCACTCTGTTCCCTGAGTGTGCCCTGGCTTTCCTGTCTTGGAGTCCCTGTGTGTGCTCTGCCTTCTGCCTGGAAAGCACCCGTTCCCAGCCTGTTGGTAAATCCTAGGCTGATCGTTTCTCAAGACCCAGAACAAAGGTCCCTGCCTCACTGAAGAAGGACTTTGGTGTGCACACCAGCACTTCTGCCAAGCAGAATATGTTTTCCATGGGCCCCTTGGTGTTTTATTTATCTTTGTGTTTTCACTTTTCACACGTGGTGTGGCTTCATGGTGGGCATTTTGTGCACATGCTGGAGCTTAAGTTCTCCAGGCCCAGACTTTCCCAGCATCCAGCAGAGACCTAGCATCTAGGGAGGCACTTCATAAAAGCTTCTTTTGCTTAATTGAAACTATTCAATGTGAACTCTCCATCCTTTCTGCTGCTCTTCTTAATATCTTTTGGGGATTCTTTTTTTTTTTTTTTTAAGATCAGTATGTAAGTACCAAGGAATCATGGATGGCAGATTACTGTAAAGAAGACAAGGAAATAGAGTCAACCCAATCAGAAGAGTGGATGGGCTCTTCAGTGGACCCTCCGTGCTTCGGACAAAGTAAGATTCGTATCTGCAGGTGTCCGTCTGAATTGTTGTACTTTACTAAGAAATTCAATAGACCTGTCATTCTCCATGGAGAAGCCTATCGGAAACCCTGGCCACCTTCTGTTGTTCTGTTTTAGTTTTTGCAAGAGACAGTTTTCTGGCACAAATTACTGAACTTTTAGGTGACCTCTAAATCTACCTATGCAAGGGAGAAAGGATCATATAATTTCTGATTTCTGGTAACTTTGTGAATGAACGGGTACGCCTGAGACCGTGTCTGGTTCGGCTGCTGCTTGGTTTCTGTTTTACTTGGCAAAATGTTGGTTTCCAGTATATGGGTATTTTTTATTGGGATTTTTAAAAACATCTCTTCTAAGATCTGAAGCTAGTGCTAGAAGGTTTGCACATGTATCCTTGAATAGAGGGAGAGTGGATCCCATGTGGTGATTTTAAGAGGGGGGGCCCTGTATTGTTCGTAAGGAACAAAAGAATTGCATACCCAGGCGCTTGAGGGGAGAGGAGTCTGTTTGTTCTTTGTTGACCATGTTTTCTTCCCTTACTTAATGCCTCACCATGGAGCATTCCTCAGAGCTGGGGAGATTGTGATGGAAGGCCTGGTCTTGGTTGTTCCACAAGCCATTGTCATCCAAATTGAACTCAGCCCCAAGTCTTTCTGTGTGGTTTTCCCGAAGAGTCTTGGCTGGGCTTCACATAACTCCTGAATACTTAAATATTCCGCCTGGTTTGCAGACAGTCATGGGAGGGTGACTGCTTAGTGTATGAAGTATTTGTGCTGGTTCATCTCTCCTCAGACTGCATAAAGCGGACTTTCTGTCTGCCTGTGCTCCTAGAAGGAGAGACAAAACCACTGTCAGTTGTGCTTGTCCTCCCAGTTCCCAGGCTCTGGGTTCCAAGGCCATTGCTTCGGAGCCTGGGCTGTTCAGATGGTGTCAGCTTCAATTCTCTCCTCCTCTAGCCTTCCCGATTTATGTGTCAAGGAAACATAATCTAGTCTACCTGGAATACTTTGGTAATCTCTGTGATATGTCCAAGAGTGTGTCTCTGAAAGTCATCTTTGTACTGGGAGGTTTTTTTAAATCTGATCACTGCAAATACTAGGAGGGCCTGATGTTTAGGAAGTGGATGAAAGGTCTGTCTCCTCCCCGACCCCCCTCTCTTGCCCCCTCTTTCCCTCTCTCCTGCTCTCCACTCTCTCCCCCTCTCTTTCCTCCTTTTTCCAGTTAATAAGCTGCTTTATTTATGCTAAATGCCAATGCTAAGTCAAAGCTCAGTTTTTATTTAGATTAGATTTTTGTGGTTATGTAAGCTGATAGAGGTAAGATGTATTTTTAATCACAAAATTAAATATACCTGAATTTCCAAATATATTTTTTTATTGAAAATTCCAAGATGGTGTTCTTTCTGTGGGACAGGGTTGTGTTCTTTAATAGGCCTACAAAATCATTGTTGGCATTTTTTTTTTTTTTTTTTGATGGCAGTAGATTTCAACCTTGTTGAACTGATCATAAACTTTCAGGTCTTGGGCTGGGGCTGTGGCTCAGCGGTAGGGTGCTCGCCTAGCATGTGTGAGGCCCTGGGTTCAATTCTCAGCATTACATAAAAATAATTAAACAAAATAAAGGTATTGTATTCAACTGCAACTAAAAGGTAAATTAAAAAAAGCAACTTTCAGGTCTTGAGAATATTTAACCATATTCCCCCAGTTGTGCTTTTTATTCAGGCCAGCCTTAAAATGAGCCTTTGGAATAGCCCTGACTGTGAAATGCAGCCCAGGGATACAGCATGCTGATTTCTCATTGTTTCTTTAACAGGGAAAAGAAAATATTGGCTTCATTTTGATGTAATCGTGGGCTTTGTTCAGTAAGGCGAATCCTGGATGGCCTGGCACCTCCCTGAATTCATTAGTTTTGTATTTCAGGCTTGTTTTATGACAATATCAAGTATAAATGTTCTGAAAACTTGCATTTCCAATTTAGAATTCAAACAGCACTATAAGATAGCTCCTTAGAAGAGACTGCTTAAATCTGGGCCCAGACTGAGTCTTCCTTCAAATGTCTGAGGCTGCTAGGGGCCTCCTTTCTACTGCCACTTGGTTCTCCAATTGGAATGGAACAACCACTAAAAATCTGTGCCGATTGGTTTCTGGAACTTTTCTGGGCCACTTTCAGGAAATCACATGCTTTAAATTAAAAGTCCTCATGGAGTGAAGAGAACCTTGAGTGCGTTTTTCTTCCCCTAATTAGGAAAGAGGAGTAGGCTGCTGGGACACGGCCTTCACAGCCCGGCCAGCATGAAAACGGGTTTGCTTTGTCTAGGACATTCCTAGCTCAGTCGCTGCAGGAGGGTGGTCCTGCGATTGCATCTTACTGTTCTCTGTGCCTACTTGCTGTGTGGGGGTGACCATTCTCACTTGCTGCATTTATTCTTACCCTCTAACTTTGTCTCTCCTGTCTGCCAGGCCTCCCCCTTGTCTACCTTAGAACTAGGAGTACAGCCAGCCTGACTAACCTAGAACACCAGACCTATGCTGGAGGTACAGTACGGCCAGCGAGGGCTTGCTTCCTTGTCCTATACCAAGAACTGCCTTGTACATCGAATGTTTTTGTAAATGGGAGTGGAATGGGAGGTGTTGTGAGTACTTTGCTTCAGTAACAGGAAGAACATTTTTAACTAAGGAGCAGAATTGCACTTTGTTTCTGAAGTAAGTGATGAGCTGAGTCTTCCTTGTCAATAAACTCCTTGGCATGGGATGCAGACATATCAGTGCCAAGCACGGGGTTTGTCACAACCAAAGGCACGCCAATGCAAGAGCCCTGTCCTCTACCAAGCAGGGCTCAGGACTCTGTAAAACAATCAGTGGACATTTATTCTTGTGGGAATGTGGGTGGCTCTATGAAATAGGAACTTCATAATAATGAATAGAGTGAAGAAAAAATTGCATAGTAAATAATTACTTGTGCACAAACTTTAACTTTTTTAGTTATGAATTTATGTGCTTAGGAGATAGAAAAGAAAATTTTCTTTATTTTTATATCTGACCCCTAAAAGTTCCTTGAGAATTTGACTGAATAATCAAATCAAAAACACACTGAATAATCGGAGCCCAGGATGTGCGTTTCTTCCTTTGTTTTAAGGAATATGATTTAATCTGAGTGGTTTGTTTGCACACAGCTGATTCCAGATTATGGATTGTGACATATTTTATTAAAAAAGGCATTTGAACTCCCTCTACCAGGAGCACAGAACAGGGATACTGATACGTGGAGAGGTGGATATGGGTTTATTACCTTTCTGGAAGGTTTTGCTTTTGATTAGTTCTGTTCACAGAGCAAGCTTATGGCTGAGTCTTTATTTATTCATGAATGGATGCCTCTGAGCTTTCTGTATGTTACTTATCAGCCTCGCAAAGCCAATCATTGTTTCCATGAAGCTGACAAGGATAGCAGGACTCAGATGATGGCTTCATTTGCTTTCATTCAGCGTGACTAGTTAGCAGCAGACCTGCTGCTTTAATCTATTTATTGCAGTTTACGACCCGGGTCCTTCTGATAGCCTGAGCTGCTGTATAGCAGGAAACCTGTATTGTTAGTAGTGGCCAGATCACTCTGCAAAAAGTCCAGGGGCTGAAAATTTCCTTAGTGGGAACCATTTGAGGCCGAACTTGGATGTGAGGAGCTTTGGGTTATCTCAACCCATGAAGAATTAGATTTGGTCACTAGAGGCAGATTTTTGAGGCCGTCAGGGAGTAATGTGCTCTTTGAAGGATTTGGGAATTTTTCCTCTGATACCGTTCCAAAGGCAAGTACATAGTTTATTTGGATCCTGGTGCAAGAGATGTCAGAGCTGTTCCCTGGTGTTGGGTTTGGATTTGTGTGCACTCTGAGAAGTGGTGGCTGAAGTCTGCTGTTTGGTCTTGGGAACTTCAGCAGTGTTCCTGCCCTTGGTAGTTAGTGCCAAGGTAGTGTGCTTGTGGATCTCTCTGTGTGGATTCCTCGTGCTTTATTCTGCATTGCAGTGTGATCAAAGCCATCTGCCACCTGTTCTTTTTAAATCTAATTTGCAAGTGGAAACTTCCAGTCTGGCTCATGGTGGTACGGGAAAGCACATCTGGCTCCTTTTCCTCGTGGCCCTTTATCTGCCGTAATAAAAGCAGCTGTTTGCTCTGGGAAGGAGTCATCTCCAGAGCCCGCAGCAAATGCTGCTTCCTCTGCGCCCCCTCTGCTTGTGCAGCAGCCTCGCAGCTACTCCTCCGTTTTCTACTTGATGAGCACTGTTTTTTTAAGGCAGACCTGGAGAACCAAATGGAGCTACAGGAATAAAAACTAGGCATGTTCCTCACTGAAGCTCACCTTTGACAAGTACTTGGGTGTTTTTAGATAACTGGCCACAAATTGTGGGAACACGCTGGAGCCTGCTCATCGTCTTAGTGGATTATTGTGCCATAGACTCACCGAGCCACTGTTGTTATCAGAGTACAACTTGCCTCACTCTGAAATTGCTCGTCTGGCAGTGTTCATGGCAGTAACTTCTGGAAACTATAAAGGATACAAAGGGAAAAATGAAGCGATTGCTTTTTAAAAGATGGTGCTAATCACTGGCAATGGGAGGCTGCCCAGGCCTCCTCCTGGCAGGGGTAGCAGCAGGACAGGTTGTGGTTTGCTGCCTTGATTTTTGTCAGTAGGAAGCCGAGGCCCTATGGATAGGCTGGGCTTTGGCCCGTGCTCTCTGCTGTCGGTGCTTGTTGTTCTGTGTAGGTGCCATTTTCTCCCCTACTGCAGACCATTCCAGTCTCTGTCTTTCTCTGCTGTCTTTGTGATTTCAGGCTGGATGGGGCCTGTGGTCCCCTTATGTGTTTCATCCAGGAGTTGCCCACGTTGGGTTGTCATTGCCACTGCCTGTAGATCCTGCTGCCACCTCCCTCTTAGTTTGTATGGCCAGTGGAGGTCACATAGGCCCTGGGCCAGAGGGGCCTCAGAGGCTCCTAGAGGCTGCCCTTCATGCGCTTGGGGTCCTCACAGTGTTTGTAGGCAGGTCACTTCCCCTAGGATCTGGTTCCGTACAGTTTTGTATTGACCGTTGTTCTCTGCGGTTTCCTGGTAGAGGCTCTTGTGTAGTGAAGCCTGTTTCCCGTTTCTTTTGTAGTCTCCATAGTGGCCACCTCATAGGAGCTGGCGTTGAAGTCTGTGATAACAAATGAGCTAGAAATTTCATTTTCATAGCTTTGGGATCGTATAGTCCTGGTTTTTCAGGGAGAAAATAATAACTATCATAATGAGAGATTGGCAAAAGGTATTTTTGTTTTCTGTACTGTGGCTGAAGGTGAACTTTTATATGAAGGAAAGCTTCCTTAAGTGAAGTCCTTGTGGACCAGGCTTCAACAATTACTCATGGTATAACCTGGGTGACCTGTTTAGAGGGTATTATTTGGGATTAGTGGTCTCTCTTGATTCCAGCCGAGGCAGGTTCTGATGGGGCCCTCTTCTGAGTGATAGGCCTGTTAGAGTTGGGGAAGGTTTGGGAGTTGGGGTGCTGGGGGCAAAACATGGCATGTAGCCAGCCCACACCTGAGTTTTCATTTGCCCCACTAGCTGACCTTGTTTGTAGATAGAACCTTCTCTCCTACCTGGCCTTCAGCCCCTTCACGCAGGAGGCAGTTTGGGGGCAGGGCGGGTGTCTCACCTTGCAGGTGAGGTGTGTGTTAACAGCCTTTTCTCATTTGGTCGCAGCAGAGGTGAAAACTCCCAAACGCCGGCAGCCATTTGTCCCCTTTGCTCTGAGGAACCACACGGGGTGCACTTTGTGGTTTGCCACTCTGACCACCACACCCACCAGGTAAGGTGCAGGCAGCCTGTCCCCTGGAGCCTTCTTTGTCCCCCAGTCCCCCTTGCAGCAGCACAGCAGAGCCCTTCTTGAGAGCCCTGGGTTTACGTCTGAATCAATAACTGCCGTGTTGCTTGCGACTAAAATGCTCAGGGGTCACTCCAGGGGAACTGGGCTAACTGGGCTGCGTGAAATAACCACACAAGAGACAGAAATACCTTTGTCTTTGGGGATGCTGTGACGGCTCCTCTTATCTTAAGAGTCTACAGAAAGAGAGGGAGAGCACGTGCTGACCCCTTTTATTGAGGAGAAGCCATTCAACTGAGGCCAGGGGTCAGGTTTCAGGGGGCTGAATCTAGCTTCATGATGTCCACTGTCAGCAGGTTGACTGACATCTAGGAAGGCCACACCCAAGGGCAGAGTAAGAGAAGGGGACACAAAAAGGGAGTTTCCATGGAACATTCTATCCCAAACAGGGCAAGGGGTAATATCACAAAGGAACAGGTGAGTGTAGCTGGATCCATGGGGCTGCAGGAAGGCACGCCTATGCAATAAGACACATTTATTTACATTATTTCTACCCTCAAGATCGGGACTTCAACAACTTAAGAATAGCCAGATCATTTGGGGGGGGGATATGACCGACAGTGCCTCAACTGATCAGGAGGGGAAAAATGCTGGTCACATGACATGGCGGCCTCCCACAAGTAACTTCTGTCCTCCTGAGTGTATCCTGAGTCTGCAGTGGTCAGACTGTGCTCTCCATCCTGCGTGTTTTATGTTTAAAGGTAAAGGCACGCAGGTTAAGGGTGTGCGTAGGAGGTCTGCAAGAAAAGCCACACTCCTCTTCACGATCACCATGCCCTTCCCTCTCCTTACGGAAGCATTGCCTGTTTATTAAAATATAGACATTTTGCTTCCCACACTGCTTCAAAAATGTCCTCCAGCCTCCCCAGCCCCGGGAGGGTTATCCGAGACCTGCTTCAGCACAGATGGGCTTGGCTGGAGTTTGGAGGACAAATAAGTTTTCCTAAGCTGAGTGAGAACTTTTGTTGAGAACTCTTGGCCTGTTTAGATCTTGTGTCCTATTCTATGTACCTGGTGACTTTGTAGCATAGGCCATGAAGTACACAGAATGGGTAACAGAATCAACTGATTCGAAACTGCATTTCCCCTGCCCCCACTGAGTATAATGCCCTGGAAGGGAGGTTCTTCTGTTTAGCAGTTTAGGTCTGTTAAATTCCAGCCACGCACTTACATGTTCCTTTAAAAATCCTACCTTACTGTATACCTGCCAGACTCTGCTGCTGGAGCTAAGTGACTAGGTAGTGACAATTCAGCTATTCCTAGAGTTCGGGTAAGCTGTGACTGAGCATGGGATCACCATAGTCACTGGCTTTGAGGTCCTCCTCTGTGGCGGGCTCCTACCTTACTGCTGCGGGCTGTCCTGAGAGGGCTTCTCCTCAGCACAGAGCCCTGAGGAGGGAATGGTGGAGACCAGGGACAGTGGGTTCTTCTGATTGCTTCCAGGGCGGCATTGTCTCACAGTGGGAGTCCAGGTGTGGTCCCAGAAGGGAACGGAGCATTTCTAGACGATGCTCACAAGGTCAGTGAGTGGCGAGAAGTCCTTACGGGTGAAGAGATTCCCTTTGAATTTGAAGCCAGAGGAAAGTTGAGACATAGGTAAAGTATGCTTGTTTCTTCTTTTCCTTAAAAAAATAAGTGAATAGAAAAGTGAATATAAATGATTGTCCCTCATGTTTTGTTTTTTCACTTATTCCTGATTTTAATATTATATTTTTAAAAGATATTTTGAAAATCATTGTTTCCTTTTATAAATGTGGGCTGTCTTGCCATCTTGGAAATACGTCTCTTTCCATTGACCATCCGTTTACTCAACAGATGGGGAGATAACCTATGTGTCTCTCATAAGTTTGTCTAAGCATGGACATTATAACGCTCAAGTTCATTCCATGTTGGCCTGGTTTCCATGATGCAGTGGTGACATGCTATTCTGAAAAGGTTCTCAAAACACATTGGTCTCACCTATAGTGTATGTGTGTTCCACATAGCATTTTTAGCGGGCAGCTAGTTTGAGGAAGTGGAGCCAGTGAGGGTGAGACGTGCAAGAAACCTATCTGGGCAACTGCTGACGGATGCCCTCCTGAGGTAGCAAGCTGAAGGGTCAGGAGGAGGGGAAGAGAGCTTTATATCTGGCTATTGAGAGATGGTAAAATATCCAAAGAAGTGTCCCATTATTTGCAAACATTTTTAAATGGAAGGGCTATCCAGGGGGCATGGATATTAAGACTTAGTATTTGGACAGGTAAAGGTCTTAGGTTTTAAGCCTCAGATGGTTCTGAAGCTGAGTGGACATGGAAGAGGTTGGCTTCATCCTTCTGCAGGCCTTTGTGTCTCATGCTGCCGAAGTCCATGTGCCCACCTCTCCCGTCCCTGGTGCATTTGATGGTTTTATGCCCATGAACATTACACCTACCTGAGAAGGGTTGTGTATATATGAGTCTCTGGAAGAGAGAGAGAGAGACCCATGTATTCCAGGGCAAAAAAAAAAAGAAGTAAAATAAAGTCCCTGTGCTGGTCACGTGTCCCTGGAAGCCACTGTAGTTTCCAGGGACGAGGGTCAAGCCATTGCCCTGTCTTTTCATGAGGTTCCCAGAGAAGCCATAGGACTGGACAGCATCTCTGAATAATCACTGCCTCTTGTCTAAGCCAGGGCTTGACCTCTTTGTCATTTCCGTTTTAGTTTCCATGTTTTGTGGCCCTTTTCAAGTCCTGCTGTTCTGCCTGAATTCATCAAAATAAATGCCTTTTCTGGCATTTCCCCCTTTGGCACGCGGTACCCCACTCCGAGCCTCCCTCCCTGCTTCCTGTTAGCCTCAAATTCAGCTCCCCGCTTCAGGCTTCTGGCTTGAATTAGGCAAAATCTAAAATAGAATTAAATGTGCAATTTCCTCCATTCCTCCCGTTCTGCCCACTACCTTCTGCTCCGGTTTCAGCTGAGTGCTTGGGCCCGAGACTCTGAATGCCCGTTCGCAGCCACTTGGAGCTGGAGCCCACCGACTGCGTGTGGTTTTGAGAGAAGTGGGATAGTCAACAAAAGCACCAAGAAGGAAAAAGTTTCTGTGCCTTTCCAAGAGGCTGGTTATGTGATTCAGTCACTAGTGCGTTTTTCCTGCCCCACTGAATGATTTTCACCATTGTTTGATGAGGGGTTGGGATGGGGACTGCAGGGGGGAGAGACCTGGTTAGTGCCCCTCTTGCTCAGGCTGCCAGAACTTGCATTTGTGCTGTTCTCATAAAACCCAGTTAAACCAGCTCCTGATTTCCTCTTCCTTAGGGAATCCCCCAGAGGCCTAGCCAGCGGGCGTCTGTGTGGTCACACAGCAGGTCAGATTGGAGTCTTTGCCTCCACTTTTCTTGCCTTCTGAGATTGTGTTCCTGTTCCCTTCCCTGTTCTTTCTCATAGACACACCCATGACCTGCGGATTCACCAACTGCAAGTGAGAGTGAATGGCTGGGAGCAGGTGAGCCCTGTGTCTGTGGACAAAGTTGGAACTTTTTTCCGATATGCTGCACCAGATAAAAATTCATCTTCCTCCACGGTGAGTGGTGTCCTTGTGCCATGGCCACAGCCCCTCAGAACCAGGCTTCCAAATGCTTATGCTTATAATAACTTTGCTCTAGTGACATTTTCTTGTTTTTTACTTCTCCTCATCGTAGGGAGGCTGCTTCCGATTCTGTTGGCCCAGTCATAGGCTTGGGTCATCGCTGTACATCAGCCAGGCAGGTTAATTTCAGTAGAAGATGAGATTTTAAATTGGCAGGCACATATTATCTCACCTGGGCAAATTTCCTTTATAAACTGGGCAAATTTTCCTTTGCCAACCACGAGTATAGTCATCCTTTGGCATCCATGGGGGATCAGTTCCAGGAATTCTGACAACCCCTACACCAAAGTCCTCATGCTTACACCCCCTGTGTGAAGTGGCAGAATGTCTTCATGTCACCTCCCTGCATTCTCCCGGCGCTTAAGTCATCTCTAGGTTACTACTTCTACCTAAGAAAGTGTCAGTGCAGCACAAGTGGTTGCTATACTGTGCCGTTAAGGAAATAAAGACTAGAAAAGCAGAGTTTGCACACGCTCAGTGGAGGTGCAAAGCAATGTAGGCCCAGCTGCACACCATAGGATCCCTATTGGTTGAACCCGCACGCAGAACCTGTGCATCGGGGGACAGCTTCTCTGATGGTGTGCCCTGGTGTTAAGCTCCCTAAGTGCATACTGTCTTTCTAATGTTTCTTATAATGTTGCTCCTTGATCATTTTAGCTCTGTCCCTAAATTCTTCTCTACTACCAAGAAAGCCATCCACTGTGGTGTGATCAGCCTATTTTTGGAGTATACTGTTTAATAAGTGTTCATTTTCATGGTGTTCTCTGGTGTCTCAACTATCTTAGGGAAAAAGCTAGTAAATGAGAAACCACTTTTATTTCTCGGATTACTTTCATATCTGGTAACAAAAGGACCAGATTGATATGTCCTGAAGAGATTTTGCACACACAGGATGGTGTAGAAAGAATATTGTTTTGTCCAAATTTTTCAAGAGATGTTTTACCTTCATAGTAATCATATTTCACCTGAAAAATATTCTCAAATACCACTCTTTGAATATTGTCATTGAATTTAATGATGCTAACACCTTAGGCCTGTGCTGAATCTGATTTATGGATCTTTCTTAGATTGGCAGCCCGAGCAGCAGAACAAATATTATACATCCCCAGGTTTATGTAAGTATAATTTTCCTGCTATCATTGTGGGTTTTTTAAAATATTTTTTTTAGTTGTAGATGGATACAATATTTTTATTTTTATTTTTATGTGGTACTGGGGATCGAACCTAGGGCCTCATGCATGCAAGACAAGTGCTCTACCACTGAGCCACAACTCCAGCCCTGTCATTGTGGTTTTTGAGTATGTGCACTGCGCTGGACCACATGTATGTCTCTTGATGATCAGAGGACTTTGTGACGTATATGTGATTAAGATTATCTCTGCCCTTGTGTATGAATAGTTACCTTCCTCTTTCAGGAACTTCCATGAAAATGTTTGCCCCTAATTTTGTTTTTGTGACTGAGAATTCCAGGGAAGGAGAGCAGGCAGATGTTTTTGTGCAAGGTTTCCTTTTATTTCTAAGTTAAAATAGAAGTACACTATACTCTCTATTTCATTTGCTGGAATCCAAAGGTCATGAAAGTAAGAAAAAGAAGGAAAAATTGTAAGATCCTCACTCACCCCCCATTTAGCTTTGGAAGTAAATCATGTACTGTCTTGTGGAGTCCTTCTTCAGTGTTTTGCAACAGGCAAAAGTGGCACTAAAAACTCTTTTTAGGCTTTTGCCTAAAACTGTCTTCCCCCCAAGTAAGTTTTGAAATGTGAACATTCAGGCAGGCCTGTAAGCAGAGCATGGAGATTGCTGTTGGTTGGCCTTGACTTTATCCAGGCCTACCTGGGGCTAGGCCAGGGAGACCTGAACTTGGATGATGATTTGTGCCTAGGATTGTGTCCCTCTGAAAACACTCCATAAAATTAGTTTTCTTTTTCATTTGGACTTCCCAGAAGACTTGGTTGAAAACAGAGAGCTTTGCTTTCTTATTTGTTAGGTGGATTTTTACATACTGTTTACTTTAATAAAAAAACTGCAGAATAAGACACTGGAATGTGGTGTCTTTTGTTTCTCCTGTGAAAAGCATTATCTCTTTCCAAGAGCAGCACTATCAGATACCTTCTCTTTTGTGTGCCCAGGGTATTACTTTGTGCATTTAAAAAAAAAAAAGGCACATGGTAGTAGCCCAGAATATCTGTTGAAGGTGTGAGTGAACACATGGCAACAGGACGCAGTAGCTGCCATCCACTGCTGAAAAGACATTGTTTCTGAACCTCAGCATCTTGTTTATAAAAGACTGAGCACTACACAGAGCCTGGAGGAGGATCGGGAAGAAAGACAAGTTTGTTTTTAAAGTTCTTTGAAGTATAAACATTGGTTTTTCTGTAGGAATGTCAACGAATAGCAAGAGCCTAGAGGGCAAGTGGAGTGGCTCTTAGAGACAGGCGGCATCTGTGCCCATGAAGGAGCCAGCGCAGGCCACCCTGCCCAGCACCCCGGGGTCTATGGCGACAGGCTGGACTCTCGTAGGCATCTTTCTGTTTTGGGTAACACCCAAATGCACCTTGTTAGTGTTCAAGAAACATTTCCTTAATCTCTTGTTAATCTGAGAGGAAAGTGCCACAGGAAGTAAATCATGCACTGTCTTGCAGAGTCTTCTTCAGTGTTTCTATTTTAGCTGCTGTGATGATCTTCACTACGTTCTAGACAAGCGGTGTCAATTTAATCCCCTGCAATGGAGTTGAAAACAAGTCTCCTCCACAGTTTCCACATAAAGTTTGACATGTGGGAACCCAAGGGCATATTTCAGGAAGTTTGTAAAATGGGGTAGGTCATTGCCACAGTCTTAGCGGGGGTTCTTTATAATGTGTCTGGAGGCCTTGGAGTATCACATTGGAGTATGTTATTTATTTTTGTAGATGTTTTTGGAAGTGGCTGTTTTTAATAGTATGTGTTTATAGCACTTTCACATCCTTTTCAGCCAAATGCTTTAGGGTTTGATGATAATTTCACTGAGAGCTGTGATAATT